TATCTGAGAGCCAAATAGAACCATCTAATACTGTGGTTACATCGCACTTTGAAAAGTTCACTTTTTTTGGTGCTAAATAGTACATTTGCGGCCTGCGGTGCATTTCTTGCAGTCCAATAAAACCCTTAAATACTACTCTCACATTGTTGGTTTTAAAAAATCACACTTTTTGTGCTAAATAGAACATTTGCGGCCTGCGGTGCATTTCTTGCAGTCCAATAAAACCCTTAAATACTACTGTTACATTGTTGGTTTAAAAAATCACACTTTTTTGTGCTAAATAGTACATTTGCGGCCTGCGGTGTATTTCTTGCAGTCCAATAAAACCCTTAAATACTACTCTCACATTGTTGGTTTTAAAAAATCACACTTTTTGTGCTAAATAGAACATTTGCGGCCTGCGGTGCATTTCTTGCAGTCCAATAAAACCCTTAAATACTACTGTTACATTGTTGGTTTAAAAAAATCACACTTGTTTGTGCTAAATAGAACATTTGCGGCCTGCGGTGCATTTCTTGCAGTCCAATAAAACCCTTAGATACTACTTTCACATTGTTGATTTAAAAAAAATCACACTTTTTTGTGCTAAATAGTACATTTGCGGCCTGCGGTGCATTTCTTGCAGTCCAATAAAACGCTTAAATACTACTGTTACATTGTTGGTTTAAAAAAATCACACTTTTTTGTGCTAAATAGTACATTTGCGGCCTGCGGTGCATTTCTTGCAGTCCAATAAAACCCTTAAATCCTACTCTCACATTGTTGGTTTTAAAAAATCACACTTTTTGTGCTAAATAGAACATTTGCGGCCTGCGGTGCATTTCTTGCAGTCCAATAAAACCCTTAAATACTACTGTTACATTGTTGGTTTAAAAAATCACACTTTTTTGTGCTAAATAGAACATTTGCGGCCTGCGGTGTATTTCTTGCAGTCCAATAAATCCTTTAAATACTACTCTCACATTGTTGGTTTAAAAAAATCACACTTTTTTGAGACAGTGAAGTAACTGTATTAATTATGCCTGTCACACTGTTGTGTGACCTCTAGAAATGTTTTCTCTTTAGGACACCGGCACTGCCTTACTGTCAGTGAACTTAATTGTTGACTATTGGCGGTTACATTGTCGCCTGACATAAACCATCTGTTAGTTTGGTGGCTGAACGCAAAGAATGAGGAGAGCGTCAAATAAGGGACGTGGCCCTGGTCGTGGTGCTGCTGGTGTTGGTGGAGCTCCTGTTGCAGGGAGAGGACATGGTCGATCTGTGCCAGCTACACGCACAAGTGAAACACCTTCCTCAGGTGAGAGTAGGCGACAGAACCTTCAGCTTATTTGGTAGGCCCGAATGCCACTCTACGTATGGTGAGGCCAGAACAAGTACAGGCGATAGTAGATTGGGTGGCTGGCAGTGCCTCCAGTTCCTTCACATCGTCTCCCACCCGGTCCCCTGATGAAAGCTCAGAGTTGGCACCTGCAGCCCATGGCCATCTGTCTTTCACCTCAACCCCTTGCAAATCAGCCAAGCAGTCTGAGCCACAAGTCATGCAGCAGTCTCTTAAGCTTTTTTTTTTTTTAATACTTTATTTTTGAGAAAAGCATTTAACATTTTCATAGCATACAGTAAGCATTGCCAGTACTGCGTTATGTTGATCAAAATACACAGTGTTTAGACATAGTTTGGTTCTTTTTGCTTGTGAATAGTTCGACATTCTGGTTTGTCAAGATGCTTTCATTTTTTATCTTTATATAATGTTTATACAACGTAATATTTAACTTTGGTACTGTTCCACAGTCCCAATAACCATTTGAAGAGAGGGATAGAAAAAGAAGATAAGGTATAAGAAAGATATAATTATTGGAGTAAGTTCATCAAGGTAAAGGGTGTTGGTGCCATTCGACTTATGTTATACAGTCTCATTTCCAAAGGGACCCATCTGGGGTCAGCTGGTCAGGGGGGCGGTTATGGTGTCGGTCCTGTCAGGGCCGGTGCAAGGACTTCTGTCTACACAGGCGAAGACACATTTTGCTGCCCCCAAAATTTATCTTCACCTGTCTGTCTAATATTCCCACTTTTGCCCCTCTTACCAATTATTTTGCCCCTTTGCATCTTACCACCTTTTTCTCTTGTTTTCCTTTTTTGTATATTGTATCCTGTCTGGCATTATTTTTTATGTGTTTTGTGTCTTCATCCTACTTTTCTTTACCCCCTTGCGTCACACACTCACTCGCTCATACACACACACACACTGACCATAACACACACACACTGACCATTACACACACACACACTGCTAATACACACACACTGGCTCTAACGCACACAGTCTCTTACACACTTGGACAGCTTATACACACTCACCGGCTCTAACAGACACACACAAACAGTCTCTTACACACACTGCTTATACACACTCACTAGCTGTAACACACACACAGTCTCTCACACACACACACTGCTTTACACTCACACAGTCTCTTACACACACACAGTTTATAGACACACACACACTAACTCTTACACACACACTAACTCTTACATACACACACTGGCTCTAACACACACACACACTAACTCTTACATTCACACACTGGCTCTAACACACACACACACATTAACACACACACTAACTCTTACATACACACACTGGCTCTAACACACACACATTAACACACACACACACACTGGCTCTAACACACACACACACACTGGCTCTAACACGCACACACACTAACTCTTACATACACACACTGGCTCTAACACACACACTAACTCTTACACACACACACACACTAACACACACACACTAACTCTTACATACACACACTGGCTCTACACACACACACACATACACTGGCTCTAACACACACACTAACTCTTACACACACACTTACTGTTTCTTATAGTTGCAAAACAGAGGTCCCGCTGCACTGTTGTAGCTTTCCTCCACAGCAGTTGGCCGCCGGGATATGATGTCACGTATCCCAGCGGCCTGTAGCTCAGGAAGAGAGTTGCCGCGGTCGCTCCTCGCTGTTCCGCCCCCTTCCCTCAGTGGGTGCACGTTTCTCAGCCAGCTGATTAGATTGCTGCAGAAATTGACCGGCGGGAGCGGAGTTCTCCGTGCTCCCGCCAGTCACTCAGACATTTTTGCGCCCCTTGGGTCCGTGCGCCCTAAGGCGGCCGCTTGTGCCGCCTTATGGTAGCGCCGGCCCTGGGTCCTGTCCTGTCTGTGCTAGCGTCTTTCAGCTCTTATGCTTTTTGATGACTCTGCTGGCGGGTTTTCCGTGGGCCATCCTCCTAGCCCTGCCCCAGAAGTGGAAGAGATTGAGTGCACTGATGCACAACCACTTATGTTTCAGATTGTGGATGTCACGATTCACTCCTTAGTTGATATGCTTTCGTGCAGTACCCATACTCACTACTATCACATTTTGGCACTGTTCCTGATTTCTTTTCATTTAGCACTTCACCTGGTCCTTGTTTAACACCTTTATAGTTTGGTTTCACCCCTCACTCCTTGTCAGATCATTGTTTCCTGTGATTCTGACTCTCACTTCTTGATCCTGTTTCCTGCATTTCCTGGTCGTGTATTCTCATGTCCTCCTGGTCCTGCATATCCCGTGTCGTCCTGCGTTCCCATGTCCTCCTGGTCCTGCGTTCCTGTGCCATCCGATCCTGTGTTCTGGTTCAGTGTTCCTGTCCTCTGACTTATTACCAGTGATCCTGACCCTGCAGCCTTGTCCGTTTTTCTTGCTTCTGGCCTTGATTCCTGGTGTCAGTATTTTTGTCTCCAGCCTCTGGATCTATGACCTACCGATTTCTCGTGGTGGCTGCACAATCCTGCCCAAGTATATACCTTATACCAAAGGACTGTTTAATATATTCTGCCTGCACTAGTCGTGCTAATTCTAAGTTATTGTAATTATTGTTCTGTGGCATTGCATATATATTTATACATATTGTTTTTGTTATCCATTTGTCTTTTGGTTCTCTTTATAATATATATCTTGATTTACCCTACTCACTGTGTCTTAGCATTTATTCCTTGCAAATTGGGTTCCCACATTTAAAGGGATAATGCTGTCTCAGGGCAGCACCCCTTCCTGTCATGACATAATGATCTGACCAATTGGAACCAGCAGAGAAAAATGTCTAGGATCACGATGATTAACATTGTTGGTAATCACGCTGATTCACAGCAAGATTATGACCTCATTAAGACTTGTTGCAATCAGTTAAAACAAATCCAGCGACGGATAGAAAAGGCATCTATTTTATGCTTGTCTACTATAGACGTCTCTTGTCAAATTTAGAAAACTGTGTTATGTGGACTTATACCTGATCTTCAAACTTGTCACAAACAAATATGTTACCCTTTGCTTTCTCAGTTACCTGATTGTGAAAAATGGTTGAGAAAGTCCCCTGTTATAAAAAGGGTGTATGACCTTCTCCGTGTGTCTCTTAAAGAAACATCACGTAAAAAATATTTATCCCATCTGAAGAAACAGTTAAAAGTAATGCACAATAACTACATTGCCTTGTTACCTAAAGTTCAATTTCTTATAGACCTAGTACAGGAAAAGATGAGTGTCTTTATGTCTGATAATGATGATTATATTCCATTTCCTAATGTTCACAGCATCCCTAATCCTCCTGACTCTGACTTGGGTTTCTCTGGTTCGGAGGACTGGCTTGATCCTCCAGACTGCAAAACCGAAGTTCCTGCCCAAACTGAAGAAGACAATATTGAGGGGTTATATAGCACTGGCGATCCCCTCATGGACCATGTCTTTGATGAATTTGGTGCGATCCCTGGCCCTGAATGCCAGCATTTAAAAATTCCTGGCCTTTGAAATGCTGTCATTCCGTCTGGTGGAGACGGACAGCTTTAAAAACCTGATGGCGGTGGCTGTCCCACAGTACGTGGCGACGTGCCCACAAGGTGGAACTCCACCTTACACATGCTGGAGAGACTGTACAAGCAGCAGCAGGCAATAGTGGAGTTTCAGCTGCAGCACGCACGGGTCAGTCGCTCTGCACCAGACTTGCCCTCCAATAGATCCTCGTTAAAGGATTTAAAGTGTACTCATTCCAATAACAGGGCCTCGAAAGAGTCCTGTATTGTTATTTTTCGTCACTACCTCCCCACGTCGGGAGTGGGTAATTTGTGCGCCTGCTGCCTTCATTGGATGTGGTAGCCGTTTCTCAGGCTCCCTCTCCGGAATCGAACCCTGATTCCCCGTTACCCGTGGTCACCATGGTAGGCGCAGAAAGTACCATCGAAAGTTGATAGGGCAGACATCCGAATGCGTTGTCGTCGTCACGGGGACGTGCGATCGGCCCGAGGTTATCTAGAGTCACCAAAGTGCCTGCGCAATGACTGCGAAGTTGCCCACATTCTAACTTGTGCTGATTACTGGGTGGCCACCCTGCTGGATCCCCGTTACAAGGACAACGTGCCGTCCTTAATTCCCTCACTGGAGCGTGATTGGAAGATGCGCGACTACCAGCGCACGCTGGTGAGGGCATTCCCAACTGACAGCTGGGGCTCAGTGGAAGCACAAGGCGAAGGCGGAGCAAGAGGTTGCCAACGCAGCTGGGGCACCGCCAGCACCTCAGAAGGCAGGGTTAGTGTGGCCGAAATGTGAAAAAGCTTTGTCAGAAAGCCACAACAACCAGCACCACCAGCTGATATGGAACTTCTTAGCAGGAGGCAGCATTTCAGCAACATGGTGGAACAGTACGTGTGCATACGCCTACACGAACTGACTGATGGGTCTGCCCCATTCAACTTCTGGGTCTCCAAATTGGGCACATGGCCTGAGCTATGCCTTGGAGGTCCTGGCCTGCCCTGCAGCCAGTGTATTGTCTGAAAGTGTGTTTAGCACGGCAGGGGGCGTTATCACAGACAAGCGCAGCCGTCTGTCCACAGCCAACATGGACAAGCTCACGTATATTAAAATGAACCAGGCATGGATCCCACCAGACTTGTCTGTACCTTGTGCAGAAACGACATTTATACCGGCCTCACCCAGCCATTGTTATACTCAAGTGCACTTATTCTTTGTTTTCTTTTTTTATATGTCGCAATATTTTGGGGGCTACCCCAATTGTTTGCAGGGCACTTGTCCTACTTTTACCCCCATTTTACTTCCTTTTGCAGCCCTCTAGCCCTTTCCAGGACTTTTTTAGAGCCATTTTAGTGCCCAAAAGTTCAGGTTTCAATGGGGTTCGAGTTTGGGGTCAAGTTCGAGGCCGAACTCTAACTTTTTGCCAATGTTCGGCCGAACCCGGCGAACCCGAACATCCAGGTGTCCGCTCAACTCTACTTGTTACGTCTCTTTTACAGCACTGTAACTTCACAAAATAGTGTCTAGGTCATACATTGGGCATACTGTTTTACTCAGAAGATGTAACTGAGCACTATTTGGGGGATTTTATGACAGTTGCACATATCAAGTGTAAGAAATATTCAGCAAAAATGCAACATGTATGTAAAAAAAAAAAATGTCATTTTTTTTCCTCACCACAAACATTAACACAAATTGGTGAAAAAATTGTTAAGGCACAATACACATTATAAGATACCCCCGGGATGTCTGCTTTCTCAAATGGAAGCCCTTTGTGGGTTTATTATAACATTCAAACTATTCTATGAAAATTCTAACTATAGAAACTGAAATAGCCTTGTCTCTTTTAAGACATTGTAGCTTCACAGAATAGGCCAAAGGCATACAATGGGGGTATCGTTGTACTCAGCAGATATAACTGAACACAATATGGGGTTCTGTGCAGGAATAGTACACACCAGCTTTGCGAAGTACACATTAAAAAAAAACTTGTTATATGTGTATATGTCAAAATAGAGAAAAAACACAATTTTACTCCAATATTTAGCAGAGATTAGCAATGAAATGGCTATGTAAAAAGTGTCAAACTAACCTTAGGTAAATAGCCTGTGATGTCTACTTTATATAAATATATACTTTTGTGTATCAATTTAGTTTTTTCTGATGGCTACTAAACAAACAAGTCCTTGTATTTTGTTACCTGTAATTTTCAAAATAAGCTAAAATCCTATACATATTATGTACTCTATAAATCAAGACACCTAAGTTAATTTATTTTGAATTACTTTTCCTAAGCTGGACATATTATGCACACGTTATTATTGCCTAAACTGTGGGGGGGAAAAATAGTGCTTTTTTTTTTTTTTAATTCTTTATTTATAGCGTGCAAAGAAATAACATAGTGTTCAGTAAGCCACAACAGCCTCTGCACACAGATTGATAACAAGACATACAAAGCAGGGTTATGGCATTCGTACATATCGCACATTTTAAATATTTTATGGTAGCTTAGATTTCAGGCTAACTAGTAGATGTCTGGAGCTACTGTTAAGGGAGAGTGGCTGACCTTTGCATAAACATAAGCATGTGGGTAATCATTGTAAGGTAGTACTGTGAGTAAAGTAAGAGGAGATGCATACAGCTGTTAGCTAATATAGACATGCTGAGTTGTTATGCTGAACCATAGTGTAAGTGAGCCACTGGGTACCGGTAGCAATTTTCTTGGGTGGAGGTAGCTCCGTTTTGCCCAAAGAGCATAAGAAAACAAAACAAAGACAACATAAGCGAGAACAGATTAAAAAAAAGGACACAGGTACTGCGTCACGACAGCCCTCTTTTGCCACACTTCAGTAGCCTTAACACAGTAGAGAGCAGTAAAGCATTTTTTGTTTATGGTAGTAAACATTTAGCGAGTTGACATAATGCTACACTTAGTGCTTGTTGCAGGTAAGAGTGCGCTGTGGTATGTTATCTTCTATTTACGTGTTACGTTAAGTAATGTAGGGCGTGATAATGGTACCAAGACCGTGGGCCTAGGAGAGTGACCCAGCCCTAAGGGTCTTATGTAAGGAAGCAGTGGTCCTGTCTTACACTTAGGCAATGCTGTGGTCAGTCGGGTGTGTTGATTGTCGATTTACACTCAATTACCCCAGAGTGTTGGGGGGGGGGGGATGAGCGGAGGGGAAACTCTGGTGTCTGTGTCCTCTAATCAGGACATGTTGTAAAAGGTGTGTGGTCGACTAGGGTCATCTGTGTTATCTATGACCCGGGAACTCTAACAGTGCCAGGCGGTGCTGCATACTAACGGAACCTGAGAACTAGAACATTTAAACATCAGGGGTTGACCGGTATCTGGTACTGGTGTAGGGATCAGTCCAGTTCCTTGTGACTGCTGGTGCATCATCAGTCAGCCGGTGTCATCTGCAGAGCGTGGGGTAAAAGGGACAATCCTGCGTACGTCCCATCTGTGACTTGGACGTGCCGTGTTGTCAGAAGACATGGTAAGGCCCAGTCCTTGCAGGAATGTCGCGGAGTCCTCTGCGGTGGAAAGCTGATGCATGCTCCCGTCTTTATGGACTATTAGAGCTCGAGAGGGCCCCCATTTGTAGCTGATGTCTGCAGAGCGTAGCGTCTTTGTCACCTGTTGAAAAGACCGTCTCCATTCCAGAGTGGAGCGGCATAAGTCCTGTAGGAGTTGGAGTTGCATTTCCTCGAACTTAAGAGGTGTTCTGGATTTTGCAGCATCCTGCAGGGCCAGCTTATCGCGAAGTAGCGGGAAACGTATCAGGACGTCCCGGGGAACCCCAGCCGGGGCCCTGTTTGACTTGGCCAGTCTGTAGCAGCCATCTACCTGAATGCCCTTCGCAGAGCGCTGTGGTAGTAGGGTAGTCCACAGCCGGCGTAAGAAATGGGGTAGTTCCTGGTCGGTAACTGATTCGGCTATGCCCCTGATTTTAAGATTATTACGCCTCCTTGCGTCGTCCTGGGTGTCCAGTCTGACCTGCATGCTTTTGTGTGATGCTTGGAGCAGGAGCAAGTGCTCGTTGGTGCTTTCTTGCTTTTGGGCTAGGGAGGTGATGGCATCCTCGTTAGCCTGCAGTCTTGCTGTCACCACTGTTATATCCTCACGCATGATATTCAAATCTGCATTGAAGAAGGCTCTTATGTTTGTTAGTAGAGCTTTGATGTCCCCTTTTGTAGCTGGGGCTGTTAGGTCTTCCTCTCTTTGAGGGCTGTTCATGCTCCCTGAACAGGATATGTTGTCAGGTGCGTCTAGGAGTTCTTCCTCAGAGGATGTATAATATGCGTCTGTTTGTGGCGCCAATTTGGGCCTAGGCCGCGGCTGAAGGAGGTCAGCAATATCGCGGGATCCGTTCACGGTAAGGGTTTTTAGCTTTTTCGCCTTCTTCCCCATTGTGAGCGGTATTGTTTGACCCGGTCCCGGGCTGATTTAGGGTAAGTAGGTGCCCCAGTACTTGCTGTTTATTATGCCCGCCGCGGGAGCTCAGCCGACATGCGTCTTCTCTCCTCAGCGTTGAAGCCACGCCCCCTTTTTTTTTTTTTTTTTTTTAAATAATTAATGAGAATTTATCTATGTATATGTGACATCAAATGAAAGCCCTTTTTGTCCTCAAAAAAACGGTATATAATATGTGTTGGTGCAAATTGCAGTTGAACACAAACAGCAAAAATTACTTGTGTCCCTAAAGGGCCACTATAGTGCCAGGAAAACATACTTGTTTTCCTGGCACTATAGTGCCCTGAGGGTGCCCCCCACCCTCAGGGTCCCCCTCCCGCCCGGCTCTAGGGTGAGGAAGGGGTTAAACTTACCTCTTTCTCCAGCGCCGGGCGGGGAGCTCTCCTCCTCCTCGGCTGAATGCGCATGCGCGGCAAGAGCCACGCGCACATTCAGCCAATCTCATAGGAAAGCATTCACAAAAATCACAGTGAGAAGCACACAAGCGCCTCTAGCGGTTGTCAATGAGACAGCCACTAGAGGCTGGATTAACCCTAAATTAAACATAGCAGTTTCTTTGAAACTGCTATGTTTATAGAAAAAAAGGTTAACCCTAGCTGGACCTGGCACCCAGACCACTCCCTTAAGCTGAAGTGGTCTGGGTGCCTATAGTGGTCCTTTAAGTGTAAGACAAGCTTCTGAAGCTGTGTCCTTAAGGGGTTAATAATCTTGTGCCATTGTTGACAAAACGTCTTCTTGATACAGTTTATTTTTATTATATATTATTTTCTAATTTGCCTGGGACTCTTATTTTTGGTCTTTTTTCTTTAGATTTTATTGTTGAACAATGGTATGAATTCTGACCACTCTAGTTATTTCAGCTGTTTTCCATTCTTCTTATCTTTGTAATTTCAAAATATGTTAAATAAAGATAATTTGAAAAAAACACAATTGTAGGTTGCTCAAAGCTGAGTAACAAACAAAATATCTATATGGGGATCCAAAAAACCCTCCCATCTAACAATATGACCTGCAAAGTATCCATTTTAAGACAGAAAAAATAAGGAGAAAGCCATAGGAGAGGG